CACATCAGGGTAGCTAGTAACCAATAATCATTTTTCTTGCGGCCATGCATGTACGGCTTTAACACTGTACACTTGTCTTCTCAATATATGTCTCATCATCGTCCGATATTATCATCTCTCCCTCTTCGATTATCTTCGCCTTCTTATTAGATTCATCCCCATCACCCTTCTCAGACTCTGACCTCTTCCTCTTGAGTACCTTAACCAAACCCTCAAGCGCCGCATCAACATTTTCATCTTTCATTAGTTCCTCCGCGACTTGAGCCGGTGTCAAAACTTCTCCATCAATCAAATGCCTTATCTCCGGTAGAGAGGGTGAGTGTCATCATTATCGTGAGACAGGCCTAAGTAGTTAGACGCCAATATCTTGAATCCCTCAAAACCGCAGTGTCCCATGTAAATGTGCATATCCATACGACCTGGTCTGATTAATGCGTCATCAAGGCTATCCTTGTTGTTCGTCGTGAATATTATTATGCGTTCGTCTCCACAACTTGACCATAACCCATCTACGGAATTTAAAAGTCCTGATAATGTCAATGATGTTGATCCCTATTCACATAAAACTTGTTTAGGAACCATATGTATTGGTTACACAAAATAATAAATGATATAAAACAAAACCAGTGATTTTCAAGACCAAACCTCGTGACCACCAAAGGTTGTCATTGCAGGTTGCAACCTTGTAGGCAAATCACTGGAGCAGTCAATATCTTCTACAACAAGAATCGATCTGTTTCTCACTTGGAGAAGCATCCTCCTTAGAAAAGCGTCCCCCTGAACGCTTGCGAGCTGAAGATCATAGATATCGAATTTGAGGTAGTTAGCCATAGCTGCCACTAGACTAGACTTCCCGGTCCCCGGTGGACCGTACAACAAGTAACCCCTGTTCCAAGCTTTTCCAACTCTTTTGTAGAAATCTTTCCTTTTAATGAACCGATCAAGATCTTCCTTAACAGAACGCTTGAGCTCATCATTCATAGCCATCGTGTCAAATGTTGAAGGGTGCTCGAAGTTCACGGGATTCCATCCGCTACCCATGCACTCAGAGTACATCTTGAGAATTCTCTTATCGTTATTGATCAGTTTTGCCTCCTTCTCCACATAAGGTACATAAGAGTTCAAGACCAAGTCTTTGTGTTTCTTGTCGAAGCTCAGCTCGAGGCATTCGAATTTCGAGTTTTCTCCATCTCCAGCCGTTTGCGAACTGCCAGCGACGTACCGCCATGTGAGCTTAATGCCTTCGTAGATATCGGAGACAACCTCCTGAGCATAGATTTAAGTTCACGTTCTTATTGTTAGGGTCTCTAGACATCCTTAGATTTGATACATCAGGGGTTATCTTGCTTGAGACATAAGCCAGAGCCGCGTGATAGAGCTCATTTGGCCACTCCATACCTCTCTCATACACGTTTTTGTCATTGATGATGATCGCAAGAGTCGATGAACGAGAGCCGACTAAAGACTTTATATAAGAGACGACGAAGTTTTGAACAGAAGGTGGAATTACCGTGTGAACCATTGGTTTGAGCATCATGACGATTCCCATCATTGATGCATAGGTAGAGAACACCATCGTTTTTGGACTCTAGGGTTAGGTCGATCTTTCTTCGATGTGTCTTGAGACTTTTGATTAAATATTGTTTATGTAGAGATATTGTGATGAGGCGCATAATTTTAGGATAATTATGGTTATTTCTATTTTATGTATTCTAGGGTTTTTAGAATTTTTTATAAATAATTTTTTAAGATCTATTAGGAACGGGGTAAAATAATTATAAATTAAAATTGTTACAACTCCATTTATAAAACTAATTCTCACTATTATTGCATTAAAATTGTTATGTGAAATCAGAGATCCGGTTGTAAATATTCGAATTTACAATCTTATATAATATTTTAAAGTTTTTCTAAACCCAAATCATGAGAGGATGTCATGTGTCATCTACTTTTTTTAATTTATTTTTTATTAAGTATATATGAATAACTTTTTTTTTTGTAAAAATATAGTATAAGCCATGCATCAATAATTCTTACATGTAGTATATCAACAATTCGTTTGCTCATGAAACATATAAAAAATGTCCACTTTGTCAAAGATACTAAAATTTACGATGGAAATAATTTAGTAAAGATTTAAGCAGAGAA